AACCTTTTGATGTTTGGATATCTCATCCGTGTCTTGGCCTGTTTGTCCTCTGTGTGTGTCATGCATGCGTGTTTGCATGCATGTGTGTGTAAGTGTGTATGTCGAGATGTCTACTAGCCAATGTCTCAGCTACCTTGAGACAGAGAGCTTTAGCCCAAGGAAAGTGCTTCCAAGGCCAAGTTCAGGCCATGCCCCAATGGGGTTTCAGCCCCCAAACCCGGTCCTCTGCTCTTGTCTGACTGTGAGAATGTTCATGGTTCTATCTCCCTTTCTTTCCTGCCCTTTGTATCTTGACATTAAGCCAGTAAGTGTGAGGAGAGGACGTGGCTTCGAATCGGCAGCGTGTCTGAGAGGGACCCCACTTCTTTGTTCTCCCTGGTAAAAGAGGGCAAATTACTTGGGAAACACTGCTTTTAGTTTTAGGGAATTTTGTTAAACTTGGTAGTTGGGTTTCCGCTAAGTAGCTGCTGATTGAATCCTTTAGGAAGAAAGTGTCGACAGCCCTTTCACATACACCGTGTGATTTTATAAACTGGTTTTCGGGCAGTGCGAGAGACCCCTTCCCTCCCCAGAATGACTTCAGGTACTGTGCCATGTCTGATTGAGGCTGGTATCCCCAAAGATGCAGACACGGTCTGCGTTTTCATACAGCGGCAGGGGACAAGTTTTCTCTTTTATTCCCACTGGTCAGCACTTTGGAGTCTGTTTTAGCTGAAGCAGAACACTAAACTGTCTCGCCAAGGACAAACTACAGCAGTTCCTCTTCCTGGCTTGTAACTGATAGCTCAAAGCCTTCATTTTACAAGTATCATTTTCCCAAATAACATGCTAGGCTAGGACAAAGGCCACTCCAAATCCACAGATTCTTCCACACAATGAGGACATCACTCTAGAATGTTCCGCGTGTTGTGTGGGGGAGGGGTGGGCTTCGCTCTTGTGCTTCCGATTTTTATTGATCATGTTAAAAATAACATTTATTAACTTGGGGTTCTAATTTAAGGCATACTCTGCCACGATTTCTGCCATGATTGGCTTTATAGCGTGCTTTCCTGGTGAGAAACACAGGAAGTGGTGGCTGGACAGGAGGAACATTTGTGGAATAGCAGCCCTCTGCCTTCCCACAATGTTTTTTTTTTTAATGACCTGAGAAAAGGCATCAGATTTCTGGTGTATTGATTCCTTTCTTCTTTGTGTATGTGGTAGAGGGAGAGCAACTGATAAAAAAAAAGGAAAATAAAGCCATTCATCATGCAACTGGTTATTTTATGCAGGAAATGTTTTCTTGGTTTCTGTTTTATGTGACCAAGCACTTAACTCTGCATCATCATACAAAGATGTTCCTTATGTAACCTGGATTCCACATCAGGCCATATGGGCCCTTTTTACGCAGCAGGCACAGTGACCCTGGTGGATGATGAAGGTCCACGCGACGCAGTCCAGGCAGACTTTCCCTCGGCAGAAACATCTGCTGCTTCTCTTTAGAAGGGTTCCTAAGAGTATTCGTTACTCAGCGTCCCAGGTAGAAGGCTTCCAGAGCTCTTCCTGCCTGATCTTTGTGAACCGGAAATAAAAATGCTGACCCGAGGCAAAGTGAAAAGGCAGAAAGGAAAGAGAGGCCTCTGACACAGTCCAGACCACAAGAACAGAAGACTTTACCCCTGGTGTCTCATCGCTCTAGGGGTTTCTGTCCCCGTCTGCCAGCCTGATTTCATTGAGATCATGCAAGGGCCAGCACCTGTCACCAAGGCCAAAGAACGCTTGTAAATTGTCATATAGTTTGGTATTTCATTTGACACTTTTATATGAGCTTCCATATTTAGGAAGCTGGTAACAAAAAATAACTTGAAACACAGATCTTATAGATCTCTAAAAAGCATATGCCCTTATACCTCCTTCTGAAAGGGGCATCCTCACTCTTTGCTGCTACTCCGTGGGACTGTCCCTCAGAAGGGACTATGATTGCTCCTCCCCCACTGTTGACACAATGCTCCCTGATTGGTTTGAGGCCAGAGTCATCCCCTGCGTAACTTAAAAGGCATGAAAATGCTCCCACTAGGTAGTCTCCACATTTATCTTCAGGCAGTACTTTACTTGAAAAAAAAATATTCTGATCTCACTTGTGCATTTTGATCTCATTTATTCCAAAAGTCCAAGGCTTAATAAAACGTATGCTGATAACCGAGGATAAAATTTATTCTGATCTCACTTGTGCATTTTGATCTCATTTACTTCAAAATAACTAGTTCTATTCCAAAAGTCCAAGGCTTAATAAAATGTATGCTGATAACCGAGGATAAAATCGGAATTTAGTTGACTTCGAAACCTCTGCTTTTCATTCCCCTTGTGATTCCATGCCGTGTGTTCACCTTCTCTAGGTAACAGCGACCAGTCGGGGTCCCAGGAGAAGCTGCTTGCCGACAGCCAGGGCCTGAGTGGCTGCTCTCCACGGGACTCAGGATGCTATGAAAGCAGTGAGAACCTGGAAAACGGTAATGTCCGCACAGATAATCGCGAATGCTTCTTAATAGGCAAGCAAGCCACTTGGGTCATTTCTTGACATCTGTGCTTTGGCTAATGACTGTCTTTCTTCCTCAGCCTGAGCTACTGCTTTTGGGAATACTGGCAATAGGGAGAGGAGTTTTTCCAGGTTTGCTGGTGCTTAATTAAGATCCTTAGGAAGAATGAACATCCCTCAAGAACCTAGGCGATGGATGCTTTTGAGAAATGAGTGCAGTGGTCTTCTTATTCTTTCATTCCACCTAGTGCATGCATGGAGCGTCCAAGACTAAATTTGTGAGTCAGAGAAAAGGAACCCTCCATTTTCCATCATCCTGAGACTCTTAGAGTCTTAGCACCAAGTGCAGATCCTGCAGAGTCATGGGGTTTAGAGGGAGAAGACCTGGGGTTTGAACCCCGACTAGAACATTTATGAGCCAAAGACTTCGGTCAAATTACTTTAAGTCTCTGAGCCCCCTTACTGCTGAAATAGACAGATGAGTTTTTCTTTTATAGATCATTGTAAGAATTAAGATAATAATATAGTACTAATACCCAGCATTTATTAAACACTGACTATGAATTGGGCAGTGGGCTAATTTTTTATGTAAGCAATTGCTAATTATCAGTTTCTGCAGTTCATATTTTATAGATGAAGACTTTAAAGCTCAGAGGGATTAAATAATCACTAAAGCTTTGTTCTTTTCATTTACATCATGTTTTTCATGCTTGGTACCTAATAGGCTCTCAGTCAATGGTAGACAATATTTTAGACCTTATTTTCCAATGCCATAAGCATTTTCAAGTCCAAACTCTAACTACTTAGTGTCATCATACATCAGCCAGTGGTCTCTGGGCTGTCTTGAGCTTTAAGCCAAAAGGGATAAAAAACGATGGATTGATTAAAATCGGTAGACCAATTTTAAAACAAGGAAAAAGGCAGCACATGGCATGAAGACTTCTGTGTGTGTTTGTTTGCTTGCTATTTTGAGGAACAAGAATATCTCAGAGCTGCCATTCCTGGGTCTCTCATTTCCATATGAGGATTTCGAGGACCCCCCTCTGAGAACAGGAGGATTCCTCTAGCACCATCATCTGTCACCTCGGTTTTCCTTCTTACATAGATAGTAAGCTTGAGCGGGGGCAGCCCTCGGCTCTGGGACGCAGCCAGTGGAGCTTGTCAGCTTGGGGGTCACAGTTGCAGAGTGACTCCTTCGTCAGTTCCAGAGTGACGAAAAGAGAGATTCTGGCAGTGGTATATCAAAGATTCTAGTATGAAAATATCTCATTGATATTAAATCCAAGCGAAAAGACTGACTTTATTCAAGCAATCGTTGCTTCATTTTTGTGGAAGCTAGATCTCTGAATCAAGGGTATGTGATTAAATCTTAAAATATTATACTTTGTTTTTAAAAATCTCAAAACCTCAGACCAGTTAGACAGAGCACGACTCCTCGGATCTAATCTGGTGCGTCTTGCCTTCCCCCGCAGCGAGCATGTCTGCAGGCTCAGAGTGACGGTCCCCACACTCACATTGTGCCCTCCCCGACTCCAACCCATGGTCTAGTTCTTGGAAGTTACTAGAAAATATGTGTTTTTGCCCTTAGTTGGAGCATTGAGTCCCATACCCGCTGCAAATGATGGGCTCAATTTAAATCAGTAGTTTACTTATCTTTTGTAAGTACATGCACATAGAAGACATTCAGTAAATAGATTTCGGGACAGCAGGATCAACCAAAACTTTCATTTTGCAAATCAGTATAAAAGCATGCAGCAAAGGTATGAAATTACCGGAAGTCCATCATTTAAACAAACTAAAAACACTTTACAGCAAGATGTTTTCAAAATAGAACTGACTTTTTTTTTTTTTTTTTTCATCTTTTTTGGCTTCGTCCACTTAATAGTTAAGGACAATGGTACCTCCTCCACCTTTGTTTATTCAAATATTAAACCAGGCTGCACGATTCTATTCTCATTCTCACTAGCAAAGTATTTTCATTGAATGGAGAAATAAAGGCAAATTGTATGTAAAGTAGCCAGTGTTGCTTACGCAGTTCGTAACTTCTGGTTTGGGAGCCCATGCTACCTCAAGCCCCAGTTTTTAACTGCCATCTGAGGGGCCTCTGTGGTGTGAGGCGTGAGGGCCTCGAGGGGACGAGGTTGGCCTCGAGCCACTCTGACACTTTAGCTTTGATCTGTTTTAAAAATGAAGCTTCATTAGCAAAGATAACTCCTACTTTGAAAACGACTGATTCAAAAGTACCATTTTCTTAAAAGAGAATGGTTCTATTTCTGTGAGGAACTCAGTGTTCATCTTTCTGATCTCTCCAGCGTTCTAGTTTCTAGTCAGCCTCTAATATCTGTTCCTCCCAACTGCTGCGTGAAGTGAATAAATTCCGTCTAAAATACTTGCGACCATAAAACCTGAATGGTATGTCTCCTATGTCCTTTTCTTTACGCAATGAAAACCAACATTTGAGTGTCGGGAACTGTTAGGTCTGTAAGGAAAACAGTCTCCCAGGTAGCTCATCCATCAGGGTCACAAAGCAACAGTATCTTAAGTGCCTTGTTGTGGCCAGAGCGGTTACTGGGGGAGAGGGTGGTGAGAGAGTCTCACGTCTTGTTGGCCACTTCCCTGACCTTACAGTCGATATGAAATTCCAGAAAGCTTACTTGCCTCAGATGGAAGAGGAGTCATAAGCAGAATGGGCTCGGGTGAACTCAGTGCTACCGTACGTGGCTGTCTGTTTCCTCTTGTGCCCCCAAAACTCCCATTGTAGTAAGATTAGGAGGGAAGGGTTCCCCTAGATTACTGTTAAACACGTGAAGATCATCATGAAAAATGCCCAGGGTCGATAGCTGCCATTGGAACCCCATCGAGTAGCCCATGTGTTCAAATGTTTGTTGAACACCTACTAAAGCAAAGCTTTTTAAACTGCAGGTTGCAGTTCATTAGGCTTCGGTTCTTACCCATCCTTGGGTGCCTAGAGTTGTGCTCTACATGATATATTTAATATTATCCATTTGAAATCAGAGGAAGCTTGGTAGAAAGCTGTGAAATCATGAAGGAATCTGTTCTTTTTTCTCTGCTGATAATGGCCAAACCACTCGTAATGACAGTGCCTCAGGCCTTTTCTCTAGTTCCTTTCTCTCTATATGCATAGAAATTTTTTCCAGAGAACTTTTCATTTACCCCAAAGGGTCCATTTTCTTAGAGTTGGCATTATCCATACCCCTTTTTCTCCCAATCAAATCAGTCCACCACCCGATTTCTCTTTGCTGCTTATTTTGCAAGGACAGGATTGCTTTATGGGGAGATGTCAGAATTTTAAATTAAACCATTGAATTACACATGTTCACTGAACAGTGGACTAGGAAGAAAACCTTTAGTTATAAGAGAGTGGATTTTCAGAGATTTCTTTGCACCTTCCAGACCTGATGTGAGTTTAATATTTTTACCTTTTTCTATTGGCCTAAAGTACCAGGATCTCTTAGCTTATATGTTTATCATCTGGGTGTTCCCTTCAGCCCAGCATCAAAGCATACACTAAACGTGGTATTAACCAAAACTGTAACAACAGGTAGAGAGAGAGGAATTGATGAAAACTGAGCATTTAGCACCGTGCCTGACCCTCAGCTAGTAAATTCTCAGTAAAGCTTATCAAGCAGTAATAGCGGTTAATATCAATTAACAATTGTCAAATAAGTAGATTATGTCTGGTTGATAGTTTAAGGCTTAGTCTGACAGTTTATTTTAATCAGGGCTTTTGTTTCACTGATAATTAGAACCATGTCAGTATTTTATAGATTGTCTCAGGTGAAATACTCACTTAAGCTTATACACCTCTTTGTTCCAAGGTTGACTGACTATTTTCTAGGATTTATTTGTTTTCCACACTCGAACAGAAGAGTAATCGGGGAGGGCTTGGAGGAAGGTGTAATTTGAACGGTCAGTGGTCACCAGCGAACCCTTGGGGGCACCGTTTATGGAACCTGCCCCGGAATTCAGTCCACCTCCCCTTTCCAACCGTGACATTAGAAAAGTGTACTCACTAAACAGAAAACCTGTTAGCGTCGTTTCTAGTGGGGTGTGGATGTGACTGCAGCTAGAAACAGACATTAGGCCTAGATTTATTTTTTTGCCTGACACAGCGTTTTTCCTTACCACATAACTCAGTTACTCAATTTCGGTCTCTATGAGTTCTTTAATAAGACTAAGAAATCTTTCTAAAAGTAAAAACGGAACCATAATAACCCTATATCACCCAAAGTCATGAATGGCGATTTTCTGTTCTTCGTGTATGTAATCCAGCAATGGGATCTAGGTGTTGGAGATTTCAATTACGTTAGTAAACCTTTATACATCAGTTTGATTAATGCGCCTCTTAAGATGTGATTGTAGAATATTTCCTTGTCTCACAGGCAAGACTCGGAAAACTGGCCTTCTCTCTGCCAAGTCATCGACCGAGTCCAGCTTGAAGTCTTTCACCAGGAACCAGCTGGGCAACTACCCAACCTTGCCTCTGCCGAAGCCGGTGGACGCGCTGAAGCAGGGGGACGGGAGCAGGCTGGGCGCTGGTCTCGCCCCTCACACTTCCAAGCGCTGTGACCAGCCATGTGCGACCGGCTTGAATAAAAACCGGAGAAGCCTCCCCGTTTCCATCTGTCGGAGCTGTGAGACCCTGGAGGGCCCCCAGCCTGTGGAAACTTGGCCCCGATCCCATTCCCTGGACGACCTCCAAGGAGAGCCTGACGCCGAAAAAGATGTGCCTAGTGCGGTGACAGAACCCTCCCCTCAGATTGCACCAGAAGTGCCACAAAAGACAGCCCCCGCCATCACAAAGGTCCACAGCCCCAAACAAGATTCCGCCATTGACAATGCATTGCTACTGACCCAAAGTAAGAGATTTTCTGATCCTCAGAAAACGACTACTAAGAAACTGGGCGGCTCGATAGCAGCCTCTTCACGTGGCACGTCACCTCCTCCGTGTTTGCCCAAAAACTATGATGCTCAGCCTCCTGGAGTTAGACACAGTTTAACAAGGACTCCTCTTGAGGGTCACAGAAAAGGACTCGAGTTTGAAGGAGCACATCATGCCCCGGGCACCAAAGAAGGTGAGCAGAGGGGCCCCGAGGCCAGAGCGCAATCCAGACATCCTGCCCAGCCGCCACCTGTCCCTGCAAAGAAGAGCAGAGAGCGCCTGGCCAACGGCCTCCACGCTGGCCCTCCGGGTCCCGATGCCCCCTGCCTGCCACTGAAGAAGGGTGGCCCCAGCGGCCCCAGCGACTGTCACTCACCTCAGGCTTCTAGGCCTCCCTCGCGGCAGGAGCCTGGCAGCCCACCAAGCACGCGGCCACCGCCCTGGCTGTCAGAGCTGCCGGAGAACACGAGCCTCCAGGAGCACGGCGTGAAGCTGGGCCCGGCCTTGAGCAGGAAGATCTCCTGCACTCGGGGAGTCGACCTGGAAATGCTCACTGAAGACAAGTTACGAGCCGAAGGCATCGATCTCACAGAGGAACCGTATTCTGATAAGGTATCAAAGGCCTTGGCCTCACTTCACAGGCCTCTGCTTTTATGAGTCAGGGATCCAGGTGAGAGGAACACCAGCTGCCTCGGAGGCCAGCTTGGAGGCGGGGACCTTTGTGACAAGTGAGAGCACAGGGTGGCCCACAGCAGGGGCCTCTGCCCCTTGGTGCTGGGCAGTTGCATGAATGGGGGCACAGTGTCCGGATTAAATGCCAGTACAGCCTTGGAGTTTTCTTTTATTTTCTTTTGCCTGTTTGTTTTTAATTTTTGGCTGTGATACATTGCAGGGAGAACTGTCAATCAGTACTAGAACTGATTCTCAAAAGGCATGGTTTAGCAGACAGGACAGGCCTGAGTTCCAGTGTCCATGTCTTAATACGTATGTTTTTAGACATTAACAAGTCATTTCCTTTTCCTATTTGTAAAATGGAATTAATAATAACCTCTATAACTACCCTTACAGGTATTATTAGGAACAAATAAAATAAATGTAAACATACTTTGAAAACTGTAGAACCCTATTCAGATATAATAATTGTACAATTATCTGTAGGGTAACGGGCGAGGGCGAGGGGATTATATGAAAATCCCATTGTATTCAAAACAATGATATCCATAAAGAAAACTTATTTCTCATTTAAAAAAATAAGAGTAGATCTATCAATACTACCATGACTTTGCAGACAAATAAATGAGAACAGATGTAGCCCTACGCTGCTCATGGAAATGAAAGCTCTGTTATAATGCAATCCAAGGTGTCGCCTTACAAAATTCTGTGACCATGAACGCCTTCCAACAAGAGCCTTCACTTCATCCTCCTCCTCCTCCTCCTTAATATCTAGTGAAAAAACCCCTTTGAATGGAAAGGCATGAGCATCCTACTCTACAGTAGATGCTGGCTTAGTGACGCGGGTGGTACGACTTTTGGTCGATGAGGCACAAGCAGTAAGCTGCCGGCTACCGTGGAGCGGACGGTCGCCCTCCTCCCCTGCGATTCAGGAGACCGTCTGCAGTAACATTTTACAAAATGATCAAGTAGAGTTAAGTGAGGGTGTTGGCCCGAAAAATACAAGGTGGTTGTGTTCCGCTTTAATTATGTTTCAAAACATTTTCCTAGAGCTCAATCTCTCCCTAAAAAATAAAGACGTAGAAGTATTCCTTCTAAAACCCCCTGACTATGGAGAAATTTGTATTCACTTCAGATGTAAACTCTCGGTGATACTTTCCAGTAGCTAAACGCCTTTTCCTACCTGACGTTTGCTGTTCTCCCTCGCAGCACGGCCGCTGTGGGATTCCTGAGGCCCTGGTACAGAGGTACGCAGAGGACTTGGGTCAGCCCGAGAGGGACGTCGCCACCAACATGGACCAGATCCGCGTGAAGCTGCTCCGGAAGCAGCACCGCATGGCGGTGAGCAGCCGGCGCTTCGGGTGTCCCCTCGTCCCGCCTTTTGAGTCCGTTTAGTCACAGAGTTGAATGATGAGCGTGCTGACAACTGCTGAGTGGCCCGGGGTTCGCCGTAGCTGTCGAAAGGAGACACTTTGGGGGAAAGCCATATATAGTCAGCCTGCCGACTTTTAAAAATACAGTTTGGGAAAGAAAAAATAAATAAAAATTGTCCATAACCCCAGTACTGTGAAAAAGTTAAGTCAGTCTAGCCACTTCTCTGCACAGATACGGTAGTAAATGTCCAGATTTGAAACCTGATTGTTTTCCACGATCAGCATGAATCTACTTCTGTTATTGAAAATTCTTTTGTGTTAATATTTCACAGTGCTCTACTAGGTGGATGTGTGCTAGTTTAGCTAATCCATATCGATGAAACATTTAGACTTTGCAATTTTTTATTTTAAACAACATTCTAAAGAATATTCTTAACAAATCTTCGTAGATGTCCAAGGTCAATTTCTGAGGACACATTCCTTTTAAGTGGGTTTGCTTCATCAAGACTGCACAAAATCTCACGGATTTGCACATTTGGTGGTAAATTGCCTTCCCAGAAGTCAAGTGTAGATGTCCATTTCCCTGCCATAGCTAACACTTGATATTATTGTAGTTTACATTCTTTATAATGGTATCGATAAATGTTTACTCTTCTGGTTGTTAATATGGACTCAAAACCTAGCAAAAAACCTACTTTGTAAACACTCTACCCACTGAGTGTCTTACTTTTCACACTATCTATCGCACAGTGTTGCTTCTTCCGTCACCTTAAGGTTCTCTCCTTGAAGAACACGTCACCGTGAGACAAAATAACCGGAAATGTAAATGCTTTCAGTTTGGAGACGTGGACACATACCTGGGGTTAGATCTAATTCCAAGTACCTTCTAGAACCTCAGACCGTTCCTTGAGAATTTGTCTCACCTTGAAGAAGACGAGAAAGAATTCTTCATGCTCCTCTTGGTCTTCGACATGTCATAGCATCATCACTCTCTGATAGTCCAGCAGCGTAGTACATTAGCAGTGTTCAGGGACATGAGAAGTTGCCCCTTCGAGTGGCACGAGCAGTCTTTATAAAATGCCTTTCTTTGTTTACCCAGATCCCGAGTGGTGGACTCACAGAAATCTGCAGGAAGCCCTTCTCTCCCGGGTGTGTTTCGTCCGTGTCGGATTGGCTGATTTCCATCGGTCTCCCCATGTACACCAACACCCTCACCGAGGCGGGGTTCAGCACACTGGGCCAAGTGCCTTCTCTGTCCCACACTTGCCTTCAGGAGGCCGGCATCACAGAGGAGAGACACATAAGCAAGCTCGTGTCTGCAGCCAGACTCTTCAAACTGCCGCCAGGCCCCGAGGCCATGTAGCTGGGCCTTTCACGGACCTCCCTGGACCAGAGCCACCCTCTTTCACTGTGCTTATGATGCTGATTCAATTCCCCCCTCACTGGACGTGCAGACCAGATCCAGAAGAAAGGCCCAGTGTGTGGCCACATGGGACCGATGACCCTCTCTTCTCCAGAAGAGTCTCCTTGAGAAAAGTGGTGCGGTTCTCTTTGACCCCCAAAGAAAAAACAAGCACTTATTTTTATTTTCAGAACACGACAGAGCCAAGATGCCGACCTGCCACAGGTGCTGTGCCTCCAGGCTGTCTTGGTGCTCTGGGAGAGGGCTGGGGGCGGGGGTTGGGCAGCCTTTCTCTTTCTGATAGTGCCCTTGCCCTTCTGTCTGTCGCCCTGCAGGATCCCCGAGGGCCAGACAGGCTTAGCTAGGCCAAAGCAACAGACTTGGGAGTGATTGTAACACCATTGACCTTGCTCATTGGTTCAAAAGTAAGAAAATCTGGCTGCACTAGAAAAAAAAGTCCTATTCTCCTTTAGATAAACAAGAGACATTTTAATAATTGCTTCCTAGCAATCAGCTTTTATTTGCCTTAATATTAGCTTTTAAGCAGTTATCTAACTAGTGTTCACCTCCCTGTAACCGTAGTTCCAAATCTTCAGCTTAGACTGCCATCTGACACGTCTGAGATGTTTTCAGCAAAAATGGGCTTTTCGAATCGTCTCATTCCAACATGGCTTATTTTGTAGGGGTGTTTATCAGCACAAATTTCATGTTGGCTTTCAGTTTTTAAACTAACTACAAATCCAGAAAAAAAGCTCTCTGAAATTCACAAAGACATCCTGTTGTGTATATGTGAGTGTGCGTGGGGGCGGGTGGTAGGGGTGTGTGTGCTTATAGTAACTATCTTTCATTTTAATCAGTTTCGTATTGATTGTTACCTGTGGGTCATCGTGCTACAGTTTTAACTTGGACCCTTGACCATGTCCATTCCAAAATTCAATCATCAGCTAACAGGTCACCTTCTCAAAGAGTCATTGTGAGGCTGAATTTTTCAGAAAGATGTTTTTAAAAAGGGAAATGGTTAATAAGCTGTTTTAAAAGTGGGTTTTTTTTGTTGGGTTTTTGTTTTTTTTTTTTTTCAGTTTTACAATTAAGATATTGTTTTCCTTTTCTTATTTAGATAATTCTTTTAATTCAAATAAAGGTTCATTTTGGAGCCAGGCAAACCACATTAGCCATGTATTAAGTATTTGCATATTTACCATTGTTTTCCAATTGATTTCAGCATATTCTGTCCTCTTTTAGTCTTGTGTCTGATTTTCTAGCAAACAGAAATTTAGACAACTAAACTATTATGGCTTCCGTTGCTTACAGAATGATTTTCCTTTACTAAAGTTCTCATCATGAGGGCTATTTTAAGCATTGAATGTGATCATTTACAACAGAAAAACTTTGAACACAAAGCCTTGATCAAAAGTTCTGAAATATTTCATCTATTCACTAAAACAAATGATTTCCCTCAGGGAAAAAAATAAGTATTTTATTAATTATAAAGCCATCTTTAGCATTTGCTTTATATACTTAGATCCATGTTTCTGAGGAAAAGGACATTCTCAGGTGATGTATTTTTTCATGCTTTGGTATGCATTTAAAAAAATAATATACATTCAATAATACTCACCTTCTATAAGATGCCATGTAAAGAAGTGGAATTCTAGAATAAAACGCTGTAGCTGCCAAACTTCTCTTGAACTCTTGAAAACAGCCCGTTTTCGTCATCTCTGGCTGTGACATTCCTGTGCATAGCTCGTTTGGAAAGTTGAGGCTGCAGGGTTCTTCCAAACACCACATCACCACCGAAACATATTTCAAGGGCCGTGGGGGAGGCGGGCGCTGTCCATCAGGCTCCTCATCCTGCTCTGAGAGACCCTGCTCGTAGTTAAAGCTGAGCAAAACGACCACACAGAAGTCATGTAAGAGATAACAAAGGGGAAGGCGAACTCTCGCGTGAATTTCCAGGTTTTCATTTTCAGTGCAACATTTTCATCTAAGTGAAAGTGGCGCCAGAAAAGGAAGTTTTCTGAGCTTGAGCTTTGGAGAATGGCAAACCACATTTCTGTCACTCTTCTTTGGAAATCATTGCCTTTGCACAGAAAAAAAACTAATTCAGGGACCATGAGTGATTTGGGGTGGGAAGAGCTTCCTAATCTGAGGGGTCTGAGGTGGTTTTTTACTTTATTGTGCTTTTTTGTTTTTAAACAAACAAATTTGTATCATTCGTATTTGTTTGGTCTTCTTTAGCTTTAAACTTTTAATTTGATCCTAGAAAAGCCTCCGTGTTTGTGTGTGGCATTCGACTGTGGTGGTTCGGGGCCGCCTGTGGATGTTGGAAGTGGGTGATAGGCGTCAGCAATATCCCGTTTTAATCGGTTGCACTTGGTACAGAAGGTTGAGAGATGGTGAAAATTGTTGTCTTCGGAAAGCACAAAAGAAACCTGGAAAGGCAGTTCAGCTCAGGTAGCTACACGTCCGTTGTGTAAATTTTTACTTTGAAGCTGTCTAGATGGAAGTGCAGCCAGCCCCAGCCACTATTTACATTCCCAGATAACCAAGTAGCAGATAGATTTTCATGGCCTTGCCTTAGTCAGAGGCCCTGTTCTCTGTCCTGAACCCACATGTGGGTGAAATTGGAAATTACTAGTCTATTGGAAGTCAGTTCTGACATAGCAAAGTTTGCTTTCCTAACTGCAGCAAGAGAACTCAATTCGCCAAGTCAGTGCTGCATGTGTGTACTGTATTATTTTCAGAAAAAAATAAATATAGTAGTCTGCGTCCAAGTTATCTTGATTTTAAATTGATAGAGAAAACAAACTGTCAAGCAAGTTATATAACAACTAACAACATTGCACTTTCTGTATATGAAATCAATATTTAAATAACTTATTTTTCTCCATTGCTGATCTTAAACATTGTAAGTAGCTGTAATATACCAGTACCAATCTGTTCTTGCAATTGCTTCAGCCCAAGAAAGCTGTGTATTGTTTTAAAAATTGTAAAAATTATTGTGATGATTCATTTAGCAAAGAGAAAGGACAGAGGGTTTTCCTATGTATCAAAACTTGTCTATAATTATGTCATCTATGTACCTAGAAAAAAAAAGTAAATAAATTTCTTCAATTGAATACGCCTCTTTTGTTGTTCCTTAGGTATTTCAAATACGAATGGAATAGAAATAAAAGGGAATTTATGTGGTTCAAGAATAAAATACATTCTAAAAACAGTAGTAGCTATATACAGTTACTTCGGTCACATCACCCCTCACTGACATGCACCGATTCTCTTTGCCAATTTATTATATATTTTTTTTCAAATATTGCGTAATCGAGTCACATAGTCACAGCATCTTAAACCAGAAAGAGATATGTGGAAGTCATTGCTAATGTAAGCTCATCGTTTTCAAATGAACTCTGAGACCACGTAGGTGGTTGACTTGCCCGATATCATACAGTTAACAGAACCCAAGTTTTCCATTGACAGAAAAAAAATCTAGGTTGGGACATTCTAGAAGTTAATCAACTTGACAAAAATACTTTTTCAGCATCGATGCGCCATGACTGATATAAAAACATGTTTTATAGGTAGGAGGATGTGTGTTTGTAATAGAACATTTTGAGTAGGTGATGCCTTGCAGTCGAAGCAAAACAAAAACATTCCCCTCCCCCTTCCCCCAGCCACCTCTTAAGTATGATAACCAGTGTTTGCTTCACTTTTTGGAAATGCCCTATATATTCACAGTTTAACTGTACATGTCTTTTTGTATGCGGGAATGATAGCACATTCTTAACACTTTTTCACCCTGCTTTTAAATTCAATATACCTTGGATATTTTGCCATGTCACTGTACCCATCCATTCTCTTAAAGGCTGCATGGTATTCTATTATGCAGATAATTTAACCAGTACTCTGTCAAAAGACAATCTTTTGCTGTTATAAAAACAGTTGTTAGGAATATCCTTATGCCCAGCGGTCCCCAATCTTTTTGGCACCAGGGACCGGTGCTCCTCTGAGAATCTAATGCCTGATGACCTGAGGTGGAGCTGAGGTGTGATGCTAGCGCTGGGGACTGGCTGCAAATACAGATGAAGCTTCGCTTGCTTGCCCGCCATTCATTTCCTGCCGTGCAGCCCGGTTCCTAACAGGCCACAGACCAGTACCGGTCTGCGGCCCAGGGGTTGGGGACCCCTGCTTATACCCATATCATTTAGCATGTGGAATTGCTATGTTGAAACTGTGTGTTTTAAATTTCAATAGAATAAATCCACTGGTGGATTTCATTAAAGGAAGCTTTACCATCATAAGTTTTGTTTGTAAATCATTGGCTTATTCCTCACTCCCCCCCAATCCATTTTGTAAATGAGAATCTTTAATATATTCTTAGAATGGAAGTTCATCCGGAGTGCCGCATTATTGTAGAAATCTAACCGTAGACATCAAATCTTTTATCTTAAGCTGACTCATAAAATTTAACAGTTCAACTCAAAGAAGATGCTTTTTTCCTTAGGATTCCTAAAAGCCTTGTCTGGATTCTTGGTGTTCTAACCTCACAATATATACAGATATATTGCATTCACTTAAAAGTTGAACAGAAATTCGGTGAGGGAAAGGAGAAAAGGGTGGTAGTCACCCTTTAGCCACACAATTCATTTGGGAGGCTTAATGACTTTCTTCACTCTGCTGTGAGGAGCCATTCAGAACCAACTTTGGACGCGGTGCTTCCTCAAAGAGTGTGAGAGTAAGAGGCAGTGGGGAGGAGAAGTGTTACTCAGGTGTACGTCTAGGTACCTCGTGGGATGATCAAAAAGACACAAAAACATATTGCGTGAAAATAAAAGCGTGTAGAGAAAGTAGAATGATATAGGACTCCACGGAGAAAAGGAGAGTAAAGTTTTTCAATTGTTCCTGTGTATGTTCAGTGGACAATGGCAGGTATCGAAGTGCTATGGTATTTGTTTTCTGGACAGCACTATTTTAAAAGCATCTCAGTTCCTCAGACAGCACCCCTCCAACGCTATGTCTGAGAACACTCTAAAAAGGGAATGTAGCTGTCACCTCTTGTACACTCTAATGAAAACATCTGAGGAGTCTGTGAAGCCATGTCTGAGTTCAGTGTGGAAGAACACTGGGTTACACGTGTGGGGGCCACCGAAGTTAAGACTAATCTGATTAGAATTTACTGCCATCCCCTTCATCCTCAGCGCTCGGGTAATGAACATGGAGCCATAAGAGTGATGGGTACAGAGGGCCGAGGGACCCAGAGGGGACACCGACTCTGTCGAGAGGAAGCGAAGGCCAGGGGAGGTAGTTATGCAGACTCCATGTGCCCATGTGCTAAAGAGCGTCAGACTTAAAAACACAAAGTCTTGAAAAGCGCGAGAAAATTGAGGAACGATGTATCATCTCCTGCGTCCCCGATCTCCTTTCCCACCTGGCCATCATCCCAAGTGGGTGATCTCTCCCTCCACTTCACAGAATCACCGGAAACTTCCTCCTCTCTGGACCTCCTTCAGCCCACTTGCAAACTCCCTGCGTCCTCACCTAGTCCTTCCTCCTCGCTCCAGCCATGACAAAAGAGGGGTTCCTTGTCTGTCTGACCTTTCTACCTATACTCGGGACCCTGTCCTGGGACCCCGCCTCCCCGACCATCATGCAGTCTCTCACTTTCCTGTAGCTTTTCCTTGAACGTGTTTGCAATGGCTGTTGCCGTCCTTTCCAGACCAGCCCCTTTTCTCCTTTTTTTGGATAATCACGCTGCCTACCCTTTGGGAGAATCGCACCCTCCCCCCATGTTTCAAGGGATCCAGCTGCGCCCCTTAGTCATGGTGCCTCCCAGGCCCCTCCGAACATGGGCACAGCTCACACCAGCCCTTTCAGCCTCCTCCTCGCAGCTGGGCTCAAGCTGACGGCAGGTAAGCAAGTGCGCTGGAGCTAAATGGTACCAGTGGTGGTTCTGATGGATCCCACAGGGCCTGGGAGCTGAGACACCCTCGGCCACTCTGTCCTTGCCAAAGCTGCTTCTGCCTGGCCTTTGATCCTTTATGCTGATTGTGGGCGAACATTTTGCTTATGTAGCCCAAAATAATATTCAAAAAAAGAAGGGCTCCCTGGCGCATTTGAAAGGTGCCCTCCAAAAGTTCTGAATCGTGGGTTTGAGTAGTTGCGAGACGATGCACTTCTAGCTTACTGTATTTGCATTTTAAAATAAAATTACGACATAACTTTAAAAATATATATGGGCGAAAAATAAATACCTCTTTGATACCATTGTCCATTGAAAATACAGAAGAACAATTTGAAAATTTTACTCTCCTTTTCTCTGCGGAGTCCTATATCTTTCTACTTCCTCCACACGCTTTTATTTTCACGCAATGTATTTGTATGTGTCCTTTTGATCATCCTATCGTATTCCCTTGTCATGAAAATGTTTATGAATTAAAGTTTATTTTCTTTTTATTTCTTTTGATCATTAGGCTCCATCATTTGTTAACAAAAACAAAATCTGGATTTAATTATTCTTACCATGATTATTATCGACTTATTAATACTCAGATACGGCAGCGTTTTTGATACATAGTGATAGAAGATGAAAATTAAAGTGGTAGTGGAAATGTCTTATTAAACGGATGGTGGGGTTGGGGGCTGCCTTATGCAGCAGAAGATGTCACGGCGCCAGGGATTTTAAGTCTGCCTGATGCCTGGGAGCCCGACATCTTTACAAGCCGTGAAGATAGATGCTTTTGTGTGTGAAGCAGCAGAAGAGCATGGACAGAAGAGATGGGAAAAAGTGCAGGCAGGACGATCCTCGGGCGGATCAAAGTTAGGACTGTACTGATCTGGAAGCAGATTCCCTTATGAAAGCTCTGCCAAGCAGATTACCTTTGGGAAGAATCCCAGATTGAGGAGCTCTGTGGTAGGCTACGTGGGGTTCTTCCAGAAAAATTCCTTTCTTGCACACCATCCAGCGTCATTGGTTGGTTTTGCCTGTGAAGAAAGCTCTGTCAATCAATACAGTGTTAAACCACTCTTGGCTTTAAAAGTTCTCTCTCAACTACACACTTCCCTGGTATGCATAAATCTCCCTCCCTCCCTCCCTCTCTCCTTTCTCTCCCTAGACCAGTACCTTGCACATTTTCCCATCTCTCATTGTTTCTTCTCCCTTATCCTCCACATATTCCCTGGCCCACTCCCCCCTGAATGCACCCAAGGCCACCGACAGGAGCCTTGGTAAATCCAGGGCCCACGTCCCCACCTTTGACCTCCTCCTGCTCATCCCTACCTCGCTCCCCTTCCAGAGCTTTCTCCTTGCCCACTCTTGCCTTCCTTGTTCCTACAGCTGCTGCATCTCGGGGTCCCCCTTCCCACCCTTCCCACCCTTTGAACATTCAGGACCCTCAGGCTTCCATCCCGGGCCCCTCCTCTCTCATGGTGATCTCTCTCTGGTTTACTTTCCACCTTGAGGAGCCCACTTAGAGTACAAGATGCAATCTCAAACATCTGTCTTTTAAGAAGAAATGTAATCTTTTAACAAGGAAGATGCTTATGACAAGGACAAACTACATGTTAAGCCAGTGTCCCAGTTATTTGCTTGTTAGACTAACCATGCCTTCTCTAGCGCCATCTCATTTTGTCACTGTTCTGGGTTCAGCATCTGGGCTCCAGAGCAAAGCCAAAGAATAAAAATCAGAGGCTGCATTTGGCTGTGGAAGAAACATCATTCTATAATTTCTATAAGAATATGCTACGTTCTGTTTTTAGAGAGTCTGCTCTGCAGTTTCTGTAGAACTGGTTGGCTGCCACTCAGAATGTCCTCTGGTCTCTCTCTGGTTGAGGCAATTTACGTTCTTTATTCATTCAGTCAACTCCAATGGCCATTTATTATTATCCCCGTTTTCCCAGAGAGTAAACTTCATGAGAACAGGAGCTTTGTTTTGTTTATTCCTGGGTTCCCAGGTCTCAGAGCAGGACCTGGCACATTGGAGGGCTGACAAAATACATCCTGAATAATGAGATTAAGAGATATTAAGACACTTTTCAGACTGATGCAGCCATTAAGGAACAGGACTGAGATTTTAATAAATCTGTCTGACTCTAAAATCTATGCCTTTATCATATAAGAACAATTTCC